AAATTCAACAAAAGAAAAGTTGAAAACGAAATTTCTTTTACACGTTTTTCATTCATTAACTTCAGTACGGCTTTTTCTACTGCATAAAAGTAGGGAAAAAAAAAATAAAACACGGCCCTTCTTATTATTTCTTCATTCTTCCATCATTTACGTACACACTACACATATCAGAATGGGAAACAAGAATATTGAACCTCCAATGCACGTCCTTCTCGTGTCGTTTCCAGCACAAGGCCACATCAACCCCATGCTCAGACTCGGCAAGCGCTTGCTCTCAAAGGGTCTCCTCGTCACCTTCACAACCACCACAAACATGGCCAAAGATATCCAAAAGTACCCCAACGACAACCCAGAAGACAAAACGACCCCTTTTATCGGCTTCGATTTCTTTGACGACGGCATACCGGACGACGATAGCAGGCGCAGCGACTTCGATTTCTACTTCTCACGACTCGAGAAAGCCGGTAAAGAATCAATTCCTCAACTGATCAAGAAGCTAAACGACAACGGTCGTCCCGTTTCGTGCCTCGTCAACAACCCCTTCATCCCGTGGGCCTGTGACGTGGCCGAAGATCTCAAGATCCCCTGGGCCACTCTCTGGGTGCAATCGTCTGCCGTGTTCGCAGTTTACTACCATTTCTTCCACCAAACGGTGCCGTTTCCTTCCGAGGCAGAACCGGATATCGACGTCCAGTTGACGAGCATGCCGGCTCTGAAACGCGACGAGATTCCCAGCTTCCTGATAGCTGGGAATCCGTACGAGGTTTTTGGAAAAACGATCTTGGAACAGTTCAAGAATCTCTCCAAGTCGTTCTGCGTGTTGGCAGACACTTTCGAAGAGCTTGAGCAGGACATCATTAGGGCCTTGTCCGGGTTCTGCATGGTGAGGCCCATTGGGCCTTTATTCAAAGGCCCAAAAGATATCGCCGTGACTCGCGGCAGCGAGTGCTTAGAATGGCTGGATTCCAAGCCGCCGTCGACGGTGGTTTACATATCGTTTGGGACGGTTGCTTACTTGAAGCAGGAACAAGTGGATGAGATGGCTCACGGCGTTTTGAATTCTGGGATGTCGTTTTTGTGGGTGATGAGGCCTCCTAAGAAAGAGTCGGGATTAAAGCCTCACGTTTTACCGGAAGGGTTTTTGGAGACGATTGGAGACAGAGGAAAGTTTGTAGAATGGAGCCCGCAAGAACGGGTCTTGGCTCACCCGTCGGTGACGTGTTTTCTGACTCACTGCGGTTGGAACTCGTCGGTGGAAGCGCTTACTTTGGGTGTACCGGTGGTGTGCTTTCCTCAGTGGGGAGACCAAGTCACGAATGCCAAGTTCTTGGTTGATGTTTTTGGTGTTGGGGTTAGATTGGGCCGTGGTGAGGCTGAAAATAGAGTGGTTCCGAGGGATGAGGTGGAGAGGTGTTTGGTGGAAGCGACGGTCGGAGAGAAGGCGGCGGAGATGAAGAGGAATGCGGTGAGGTGGAAGAAGGCAGCGGAAGAGGCGGTGGAGAAGGGTGGTTTGTCTGATCGGAATCTTGACGAATTTGTGGAGGAAATAAGGAGCAGAAGTGTTGCTAGTAGTAATTAACTGCCTTCACATGACTATTGAACGTGAAGATTGATGTAATTCTAAACACGTTGTTGTGGCAGTTGTACGTGGTGGTATATATATATAT